TGTAATGATAACCATACTAAAATAGACAAATATTTTATTGAGAAAAAAAATGAGTGGAACTTTAAAAAGATCGTCGAGATCATAATTCACTGCGTAATAAGAACATCGCTTTTCAGCTCCCTTTTTATAAACTTATTTTTAATTTACGAAGCAACTGCACCAGTCTTGTTTGCTTCTTACAGCTTGCAGGTTTCTTTTGACTGAAATGTATGTCCTAACAAGCTGTTTAGATGACCACTGTTAAGATCTTTGCTTGGGTAACATTCAGAGTTGCATAATTCTAGAATTTGTGAGGAAGTGATTAAGGAAAACAGTACGAATAGAAAAAAAGGGACAAAAAATGTAGGTTAAACAAGGATTTTAGTAAAACAAATACCGGTTGCTTTATGCTATTTGAAAACAACTTTGCCTGCCCCGCCTTAAGAAAAACACAGCCAATTTGCCAGGTTATATGATTGAAGTAGAGCAGGCATAAATGCAAAAAAGATTGAAGGGCAAGCAGTACTGGAAAAATAGAAATACATTGTTTTTGAGGCAGGATTTTTCTTTTTTAATCGCTTAAAATGAGTGAATATTTTCAGTGCTTTTTATGAGGTTCTAGAACTTTCTCGCTCGTATTTTTTAGTGCTTATTGCTATCTTTGAACTAGAGATGAACTTTTGCTGGATAAAGTTTAGAGAATTTGTTTATGCTGGAAATAAGTTGCTGAAAACTTGAATTTCTAAAAAACTACTCTCAAATATCCCATCCGCAATAGTTTTGTTATAAGAGCAAAATTAATTTTTTTTGCTCAGGTAACATGACGTTGCGTAAGCTAAAGCGAAAAATCTTTCGACAAAAGCAACTATACAGCACGAATAACTATAAAAATTAGTGTAAGTATTACGAAAACTAAGGGAAGACATAAAGGAGAAACTGAAGCTTGTCAACGCTGTCCTAATTATTAAAGAGGCATCCGCTTTGCCATCAATCAAATTTTTGACCAGTATGATTCGTCCGTTCAAAAATGCATCTTTGCAAGGCTGCTTTCCAAACGACAAAGGCAACAACTTGATATTTCAACAAAGTCTGTGTCTTAGAAGGCAGTTCTTTGTTTCTTTTGATAACCATTGCTGGCAGCAGAAGAAATTTTCTCTTTTTTTTATGAAATATTTTTTTTAATATACATTACGCGTTTGTCGAAACTTACAAATTGATGCCTGTAATAAAGTAATTTTAGCGAAGAAATTTCAGAACTGCAACTTATTGACATAAGTGATATAGGTATTCAAGAAAATAAAACTAGATTCTGGCAGCATTTATCTCACTACTGTACTCTATTGTCAACTAAATATTTGACCATTTTTTAGGTTCTTTATTATTAAAGCCTCGCGTAGTTTAATTAACAGCATATCTTGTCAAAAATGGAGTTTTAAAAAGCGATTCGTACTTTGTATTTTTTGGGCTTGTCGCTGTAATTAAAGTAAGAAATAATTGGAGATTTAAGCTGTAAAATTCACGCAACTAATCAAAACTGCCGTCATTGTTCTAGTAATTGGAAAAAAGGTGAAAAGAAGAGATCAAAGTTTGGCAGCGTTTCTAGTTCAGAAAGCCTTTACTTAATAACTTTTTTTGCTGTCAAAACTCTCTCTGTTTTCAACTAAATCTTTAACCAATTTGATGTACCTAATAAAAGATGTAGCATGCAATGGCGCTTATTGAAGATTATAGGGTAATTCAAACAAAAATTTGTTTTGTATTTTGCTGTCAACTATTTCAGTCAAACTTTTTCTTGAATAGTTTTCTTTTGTAGTCGCACCCTCTCCTAAAAAAATGAAATTTTGATTTTATGTTTCATTGTTGACATCTAAAGTGTACGTGACACTTTGAGTAACAGTGAGATTGTTTTTTCAAATTACTTTTTATAAATTTGCTCACGTTTGATATGTCCTAAATAAAAAACTTCTTTGTCATTTCCTGATGAAGTTTTACACTATCGTCCTCTTCAAAAAGTTAATTTTTTTAGGAATGGGCAAACCTTATAGTTTTTTTCTTTGATGCACTCACCCAAATCAAAAATTTTTCGAACAATTTTTTCAGATTCATACATAGTTGGTTTGACTTCTCCAGAAAAAAAGATAACGGCTCTTAAAGTATAGCTTTACGAGCATCTGAAACTTTTAGTTGAAAAATATTTGACCAGTAAAAAGAACAATTTTCGGA